GGTGGAAAATGTAATGGAAGAAGAGACATCGTGTCAGGTAAGTAGTGCAAGCAGCGTTAAAAATGAAAAGCACTTGAATGGTACCGTTTTGCACCAACAAAGACTTCTTATTGACAACAAGGTCGATCCTAAAACTTTAAGATAAGTTTCAGTTACTACCATATTGTAAGACGTCTTTCTCGATTACTCAATGGATTTTTTTTTGGTCAGTGGTCAGCGTACAAGATGGCTGGGTTTTTGTATGTGAATCGAAAATTTGCAGTTTTTCAACGTTAATTTCTATGTTTCACATCCTATATTGATATTTTTGTCGTTTTCATATTTGTTTATCGTTATGTCAAAGTTAACAGTGTATTTTTACCTTGTAACTAGTTTTTGTTTGCGTGTTTCTGTGTTTGTTGTATGTGTTACTTTAAGAAGTCTTAAGTACCTGACATCGTTAGTCATTACAGTATTTAAAATCCTAAGGATGGATTCTCAATTCTAATAGCCCGGTGGTTATTTTGGGCAGCCATGCACTTTATTCTATTTGTTTTATTACTTTCTTGTAATGTATATTTAATTTAATTCAGGGTGCAAATAAAGTTGTTGTTGTTGTTGTTGTTGTTGCAGACCTTCTTTATCAAACCTGTCAATGTTTTTCGTTTCGGTTGATAATGTTAATGATTTATCTCGGATATTATAAAACGGATAAAAACAGCAAAATATTTAAGTCTTCTGTTACAGACAGAAAAGATGCTGAGGGTTTTCTGATCACTTTACTTCTGTTAATTTTGATTCCGTAACTGGTTAAGGGGTGTTACTCATTCAGGATTCTCTCTTGAAAATGGCTCTCTGTTCTCTGCTCAAAACCACAGATAGTTCATGGCCAGACAAAAATGATCCATGGAGACTCACTTCTTAATGAAAACCTTTTAAAACTAAAACAAATAAAGGATTTGAGCTTATTTGTTGTTACTATGTTTTCTAATAGGAGAATATTGTCTTGGAAGTTACCAATCAAGTCGAAGCCGAAACCTGGGCCCCAGACATCTCAAACAGCAGCGTCGTCGAAGCTGTAGAAATAGAAGGGAATAACACCGACACAGAAATGAGTGATAGCAAGATCCTACAATCACAAACACAATCTCAAGACCACGATGTAGATATGGGTCAGGAGACAGAAAATGAAGACAAAAATCCGTCGACCTCTGATGATCAAAAATTGCTGTGTTACATTTGTGAGGAGATTGAGGCTGTTGTTGCATTCAAACCCTGCGGCCACACTTTTGTATGCATAGGTAGCTTTGCTTATTTGGTTTTGTTGTGTTGTATTTTTGTTCTGTATTGATCACTCAAATTTTAAAGGAGCCTTGTAATAATTCAAGCGTTGGTTATAGAAAATTGCCATGGAAAGCGTCTTTATAACAGCTGTTTCCTTGAGAGGAAAATCGCGAATAAGGTCTGAGAATAAGCTAAGAAGGACCGACTATGATTAAGTGTGGAGAAGATTAACACAGATTAGTTCAAAAAGGCGATCTTGATCTTGGTGCTCATTAACGTAATAATCTGTTTGCAGAATGTGCAGCTCGATTGAAGAGATGTTTGGAATGTAAAACGCCTATTACTGGTAAAGGAACGAGAGGTAACTTGCACAAATGATCATGATGTTTCTAATCTTTAGATGTTGTCCTTCGCTGGCGGGGCGAGGCCGATGCAACTTTTAACGCTAAAAACTATAATTGCAAGCTTTCGCCGATTCGTAGTCGCGACTCACA